AGTGCTTGGAAGGGTTCTGCAAGGCTTGGCCAACTGCTTCACCCTGCTGGTGTCCCAGGCGCCTCCCCGCCTAGGCTTTGGCTATAGGCCGGGGTCGGCGGATATGTAAATAGCAGGTCTTCATATTGCATAGCAGGTCTGGAAGCAGCAGTGTAGAAGCAATGTACAAGTAGCAAGCCTCAAGTGTTTTTTCAACAGAAGAAACAGTTGCTGCCCCGCGGGAAAAAATGAGACATCCCAAGGACTGCGCTTGACGACATATCTGTGGTTGTTAGCAAGAATGTCTTTGAGAAGAGGTTCCAAGGAGTGTTCTTAGGATTCTCAAACTACAGTGCAAGGTGCCTTGATGCATACGAATTGCATAGCTGATTCATTTTTTAGGGTTTGGCAGGACACCGGTTTGACCAATGGAGCGACTTTGTCGAGGCGGCGGGAGAGCAAAACAACCCAGGCTGGGAGCAGCTTGCGATGGTTCTGTTTGACTTGTGTTTCCTTGCCAGGAGGAGAAGCAAGACTGAAGGCAAAACCGGTGCCTGAAGGAATAGTTGTCCACGGCTGAATCACTGAATCATCGCTCAAAGTGTTGATGTGCAATTCGCTTTGGTGAACGTTGGCTTTGATTTGGATGGTATTCCTGAAGGTTGGCATGATTGGCATGCTGGCATACTTGCTCCAAATGATCCTAAGAAAGGGCTTTTCCATCTTTGGTATGTGTGGGTAGGCTGGCTTCACTTTGCTGTTTGCTGCCATTGCTACGGTGACCGTTGGCACGATCATCTCCTATGTTGGGAACAATGAGGTGCGTCAAAAGCCCTTGAATTGTTATTGCGATGGCACTGTCCAAGGTTTAAAATGCACATCGTCTCATTCTGTGTTTTTTTGACTGTCAAGGTTTGCAAACCCCACACTGTGTGGCTGATCATTTTCATCCTGCTGAGTTATGCGAGCCAGCTCAGTTACACAAACATGCTTGTGCGTAAACTCGGCAACAACTTCGCCCAGGCCACAGCAGTCTTTGTCTACTGCATCTCCACCTACGCAGACCCTGCGCAGCGCGTGGTCACGAACCTTCTGTGCCGCGACGTAACAGACGCAGACAGTATGATTTGGGTGTTTGCAGTGATATACAGTGATTATGTATACCTCACTCATCGGACGGTCTGAGCGCCTCGATGGCATGGGGACTCTGGTCCCAGCATGCGGAAATCCCCAATGCATTGACCGGGAAGCAACAAAAAGGCACCACTAAAAGGGAAAGGGGATACGCCTCGATTCAATCGTGCGCCCGGGTCCCGCTGAGAGAGTACAAGCTATGTCGTGCAAGATCCTATTCTCAAAAAACGGAACAGCGTCCACAATTGCGCTTTGCGGCAGGACGCGTCCGCAACTCTTGACCAAAGTCGCCGAGAAGAAGCCTGGACAGGGCCGACATCTTTCAACAGAAGCTGGAAGGCTGGCTTGTCTGATGCGTGGAATGTATAGTGGCGGTCGCGATGTCATCACTCAACCTGACCCCTTGTGAGTGAAATGCTATAGCTGCTATGGCCAATTCACAAAAGGCTACCGCTTGGTCTTTTTGTTCACGCCAACGGAGCTCCCGAATAAAGGTGCATATGACGTGCCAGTCGGAAGGGTCGTGTTTCCATCTGGGTGGAACTGGACACTGCAAAGGCACGTTCGGCTTCCAGCTGAAATGCGAACGGTCACGCCAATGCCATCAGTGGGTAGAGGGCCCTCGCCTGAGCCAGGGAAATCTCTTCGACCTGAACTTCCTGGGTTAATGACTTGCTTGCATCATCATCATTACGCTTCTTTCTGCTTCCGTCTTTGCTGTGGCTCCCTCTCTGTGGATTCTTGAGTTCTCTCGCATCCAGCTCCCTCTCTGTGGATTCTTGAATTCTCTCGCATCCAACTCCCACCAGGTTGATTTTCAGTGGGTTCTCTGACAGGTGCGCGCACCTGTCTTGTTCTTCGATGGGCCAACCAGGTCTTTCGTCTTTGTCTTGTCCTCGGCACTGTGTACATGAGCGTTCAGTTGTCGATGTTTTCATCATGCCTGTTGCTTTTCGTTCGATGTCAAGGGAAGAGATCAAGTGATGCTATGCGCATCAAAGTGCCCAAGTCGGGAAGCAGCTCTATGCACCACAAGCGGCCCGTTACCGCTCGCACCCTTTTGACCAGATAAAGCAAGTGCCACGTGCAATCCCTAAGGGAACTCTAAGGGAACTCGGCCCCGGTTGTGCACCTTCACTCCTTTTCTCAATTTTGGAGTTCATTGTTGGTATTAATTGGAATGTTCACTCTGCGTGCCAGTTTGGCGTGAACTCCTTTCGTGCCACTTCTGGCTGTCCAGAGAACCCCGCCATGAAGGCATGACGCTTTTCTCCGCAAACATCGGGCCCATTCAGGCAAATCACGATTGGAAGTCTTGGCAATCTCATCTCATGTCACCTGTCTCCAAGAGACTCGAATCGGTTAGAATAACCAACACGCAGCCCAATTTGCCATCCGTGATGCCGGATACACGGCGGTCCTTGGTGGACTCTTACCGGGTTTCATTCAATCCACGGGCACGGTCATGTGGTGGCGTGGAAATTTTGGACCGCCCGCGTTGTTGCAGCCTTTTCAAGAACCTTTTCAAGAACATGAGGACCAAACGGGTCTTTTTCATGCCAAGAAGGTCTCCTTTGCGTGGTTCCAGGCCGCATCATAGGAAGGTTCTTCTTTGTTCAGTCTACGCTGCTACTGGACCAACGCACTCATGAGGAGAATGAAGCTTGGCTCGCAGATATTCTTACTCTGTGTCACAGTTTGGGATCATCCCCGTGATCATTGCAGGGGACACGCAAGTCCCACTTTTGTATCCTTCGATTGCCCGTGCCACGCGCTATATGGGCTGGAGCGATCCCCTCAATGGCGTGGATCCTGAGGGACAAGTCACCCGACCTCTCATCTATTCCCATGATTTTTCCTTCAGTGGTGAAGGAGATGGGCGCTCGTCAATCGACGCGGTTCTGTTGAACTCCCCTGCCTTTTTTGCCCTGGAGCATTGCGAGTGTGGACGACAACGCCGACCTATCAAATGTGTTTTCCAGTGGCAAACCTATTTCCCAGGTTGGTGATGTTCACTACAAAGCCGCCTCTCTGGATGTCTCTGGTATTCCCAAAGAATCCCTACCAAACAGGGTGTTAATAATGGTGCTGACATTCCTTGTGACAAGTGGGATGCCTCATGGGAAGCCCAGTACCAAGCCAGTGACGACCCCGATACATGCTGGAGTGTGGTGAACAGATTTTTCCAACAACCTTGATCAAGGACAGGAGCCCCGTTGGAAGGTCCTAGACAACGGGCTGCGCCGCCCAAGTTTATTGCCAAACAAGTGTGTCCAGTCCAACGCATCAATCTGTGCGCAGCCACTAAGCACAGCTCTGCCCTGCGCAAGCTCCAAGGGCGCATCGACAAGCTTTTCATCAGAAGGTCCAAAGGTTTCCACTCTGATCAGGATCGTTTCGTGTTTCGGCAGACTTGCTCGAGCTCGCAGAGGTTTGGAAAGCTTGTTTGCGCCCATGTTTTGGCCGGACTCACATGAGTCAACATTAGCGCATATTCAAGAGGATAATCTTGGATTGCCCGAAGTACACAAGAGCACACACAGAATTTCAAGAACGCACGCGTTCACAAACGGAAGACTCGTATTCAGCAATCAGCCGGTAAAGGGCGCGCTTCTATTTTCCAGCACCTTAGAAATAAGCTAGTTGACGATTAGATGCTTGTGACTGTGTGGCCCTACATCCAACACCATACCCACTCGACGGTTGGCGGACTCGTGAACTCCAAGCCTTGCCCTTAAGTGCTTTTGCCCCCATTGCTCGCTTTTTCCCATGGGCTGAAGACCCCCACGGTGATGACCTTCCAAAGATGTGAATGTGCGCCAAAACAAATCATACTAAACAAGCCCTTCCCCGCCGAAGCAATGAGCAAGCGCCTCATCACCATTTTGCCTGCGCTCCTTTTGTGCTACACTGGCGCCCGATATGAACAGTTGCAAGACTGCAGCGGATCACAATGCCGCCAGCCATCACTGGTGGCATCAAAAGCAGAACGATGCCTTTGCTCCATACAGCTCTTCGGCTTGATATTAATTCCGCTAGACATCACAGCCAAGGCCTTGTGGGATTTAAACTCGATAAAGCCAAGCGCTCTGACCGCATCCTTCCACAGTACACAAGTGCTTGGTTCCTCGTTTTTGGTTTGCCGAGTGGTTTGTGAACCTTTTCACCAAAATGTACAAAGGGCTTCATAGGCGCTTGTGTTACAAAGGCTGGATCATGCGGGTCCACCTCCAATCACACGCCTACCTGTGGTGTCACCTCATTATGATGACATTCTCTCCAGGGCTGTCGAAGTCACCAAACTTTGGGATCAGCTCAATGGACAAAAGTTGAACGACGGGAAGTCTACTGTTTGGGGAACAACCGCCGCTGCAAGAAGGGCCATCAAGGCTGCTCTGCCCGACATGAAGTTGGAACACACTTTCCAGGCATTAGAGCGCACGCATCTACACGACGAACAAAGATGATTCCGGCTTTACTGAGAAGAGTGCGCCACTGTTGATTGCGTTGGAGCCCGACCCCTTCCGATGAAAAAAGCATCTTTCTTAATTGGGGCCAAGGCTACCCCTGCGATCACCTATGCGTCTCACATAAACTTTCGGCTCAGAAGATTCAAGGTGCAGTTTAGTTGTTCGTGTTCTATGGCGGAATTGACCCGTGGGTGGTTCACTCTTCCACGGCCAACCACATCGAACTGACCATGTCTTGGCCAGTGCCTTCTGTTGCATCATCAACACTGTTCGGTTTTGCCACGAGTCCCCCGAAGCCGTCGACAGACTAAAACAATTGTGGCCTCGTAGACATACGCTCCAGTTTGAGTTGTGTACTTAGGCTGGAAGAGTCGCGCAATGTACTTGGGTTTAGAGTCGACTCCCAATTTCGTCTCAAGTTTCATTGCTCGCAGCCCCTACAAATTGGCCTCGTTTGCCCAAACGATGTCACGCAAGGGTTAAAGCAACTTGCCGTGCAGTGTGCCTATGAAAACACAGCACTCACATCTCGCAAAGATTTTCTAAGCCAAAGGAAAGGGTCTTTTCTATTGTAGGGCTTCCACGGCTTTCTTGCGAAAACCTACTTTCCAGACTCCGTCCTTTCCGTCTGCCACGGCTCATTTCGAATCCGTTGTGGTAGGGTGTACTCTCACTATGAGACCGACTTCATGTTGCGGGAGCGTGTAAGTCGTCAAGCTCCCGTTTTGGCGGCAACACCAAGGAATCTCTGCATCACCTCGTTTACCCCTGCCAGAAACAACAGGAGATTGCAGGTGCGCCTCAACTCCAGGAGCTGGGTGAGAATTTTGCCCTACTTGGACACGTAGAACGCCCTTTTCGTCTCACGCAATTTCGGCTTGCGCAGGATTTGCCAACAAGTGTGGGCGCGGCCGCCTTTAATCCGAATCTGCCCTGTGAGCAGCTGTGGACGGACGGGTCCGCGCTAGGGAAAGATGTTTTTTGGACAACAACAGCGTCCTTTGCAGTGTAAAAACCTTTGGGCTGGACGGGTGAAGAGGTGGTCCATCTCCAGCTATGTGGCGGAACCATGGGCAATATGGATTGCACCTGCGCAACCGGGACGCAGACAGGGCAGCGAAGGAGATTGCCAGGTCCATCTCCCCTATGTTTCCAGACACCATACTGCATCAAGAATGGTTGGTGAGGTTGCGTTGCCAGCTCTCCACAAAGGGTGCCCCTGCGAACAAAATCCAAAAGAAGCCCAAACAGAGAGATTGGGGCGGATGAACGACAAACAATGCCTCAGCCTTTGCCCTAAGGCCTCAACCCTGTTTAGGGTATTTTGGTGGTTGAGTTTCTCCACTACCTTCCCTGGCTCGAGGATTGTAGATTGTCTTCGATGTGGAGTCTTCAAAGGTGACTTCGCACGGTCCCTCAAAGCTCTGGTATAGGCTCGGCGGTTTGGGCCATCAACTGCGGGGACAGGGTTGCAAAATCAAGGGTGTCTGCAAGCTTGAGCAGGTCTAGGACGTGTTGTTTTGTAGTCAAAACAATGCCAGCTTGCGAGATCCCTTGCTGCTCTTCTTCAACTGGGGTTGTTCCAAATGTAATCTGGCTTGTCAGATTTGTCTGACGGCTGGCTATAGGTGGTGCCTGGGAGGCGCTGGATGTCTGCTTTGGGCTGGAGGTGTCCATGCCATTGAAAAAATCCGCAAGATCAGCCAACGCTTGAGGATTTGAGCAAGCGTCTGGAGGTGGGCCGAAGCTCCCGTCTGTGTCCAGTGATGGCACTGCATGGTGGACAGCAGTGGTAAGAGTATGTGAAGTCTGGCATAAACTTCAGCCACGATCTGGTACCCGCACATGTCCTGGTGGGGGACGAGACGAAATTCTGACCATGTAGCCGATGTCTGCCCTGATTCTCTGGATCAGCGGAAGAAATCTTCCGGCTGATTACGGTGGAGAGGTCAGGTATAGAGATGGGCTTGGTGGTTAATCTTGTAGCATGTTGCACCGATCGGCATTGCAAGGTGTCGGCCCATTGAGTAGCAGCTGATCAGCGCAGCATGGATCTTGGTCCCTCCAAGGTGTGTGTGTCCAAGGAGCGCCAGCGCCTGCGTGGTGCTGGATGCTGTGCTCTATGTGCACCCAGCCAGGGAGATCGAAATTTTTCCCCGTGACCATCCACGCTTTGTTGCAGCGTCCGATGCTGCCTGGGAGATTCCATGACAAGGCGCAGGTGGCTTTCTCTTGGCACTTTTCCATGTCACGTCCCAGGAGCGTCTTGGCTTTGTCTCCGGATTTTCCGGGCCAGCTCTATGATGTGTGGTCTCCAGGCGACGCGAAGATCGCTCAACTTGAATTGTTACAAGTCCTGATTGCATTAGTCACCGTACCTGAGAGATTTCGAGGCCGGCAAGGGACCTGGTACATCGACAACACGGCAGCCCTGCTTTCGTTGATCAAAGGCCGATCTTCTAGCACTGACCTTGAGCAAATGAGACATCTTTTGCTGTTTTCGCTTTGTTGCTGGATTTACTGGGAATGGGTGCCATCCAAATCCAATTGGGCTGACGCGATCAGCCGGGAGGGATTTGAGGATCTATAATGGTTTTTCCAGTGCCCTCGCACACTTCCCTATGATTTTGCGGTATCTCCCATAACGGGCCGTGGTTCGCTTGGGAGAATTTCTTTGAGAATGCGTTGGGAAAATGCAGTCGGAGCGAGCCTGGTTGCGTGTTACATCCTTGGACTTGAGGATGGGGCAGCCAGGGTGGAGGTTCCTGGTGACAGGAAATTGTCAACGCATTATGCCCAGGAGTGGGGTTGTTTGAGACCACAGGGAAGTGGTGAATGAGGGCGAGAAAAGGATCGCAGTGCGAGTAGCATGAATTGGGATGTCTGTGATGTATAGTTGTGTTGAGCTTAGGGCAGGCTTGGGTGCACATACATCCTCACAACTCCCACAACACGTTTTGGCTCGAGAGCCAAAAGCGGACCGGGGAGTTTCTGTTCCACCCAGGACCCACCCAGGTGAACGGAATCCGGTGGAGTATCCCTGATCGGGCGGTGACTCGCCTCATGGCAGGCTCTCCCCATGTGGATACCGGGCTCGGGTGCGAACCCAAAGAAACTGTAATTCAATATTTGTGTTGATAACTTAGTCGGGCTTCAATGAATCAGTGAATGCATCTTTTGCCGCCCTTTACGAGGTTTGGGCTCGTACCCTGGACGGTGAGCTGCGCAAGTTATTTGGTGGCATTGCAGCTGGTGGATATTTGCAGGTGTGTCATGGTGCTTCCGTTACTCTCGAGGGATGTGTTTTGTGTTGCAAAGGAGTCGTTTTGATTGCAAGTGATTGCATTGCGTTCAGTTCCCGATTACTTGAAGTGGACGTGTAGTAGCCGCTGTGAGAGAGTTGCGCTCCTTTGTTTTGGTTGACCAGCACTGATCAGTTGGCAGGAATCTTAAAAGCATGATGTCCGGTGCTGAGCCTGTTGAAGCTGAGGCCAGGAAGTGAAATCGAGCAAACCCAATTTGGCATCCTCTGATGCTGACAATCCTGGGCTAGGTTAAAGCAACGGGTCAACAAAGTGCGCTGTGTGGGTTAACGCCATAGTATGAGAAAGGATGACCGGGGCTGGAGACCAAACTTCACGCCTCAATGTCTACCAAGCTCGTTTGCTGCTCCATTTCTCCAAGACCGTGCAAGCTTGCCATGTTAAATCCGCACGGGAAACGGTTCACATAGAGTCTAAGAGGCCTTTTTTGTGGCATTGATATGTCACACAAACGGTGTGCGCGCTTTAAATTAGGTTGTTGATACGTTGTTGACATAGTTGGTTGCATTTGGTTCATATTATGTTCTCAGTTCTCGGCAGAAGGGTGATCGAGTTCGCAATATTGTCATCGCCTCAATGTTGTCATCGAAGAGTCGTGTGATCTATTTGGGGTGGGTGGGAGTATGAACCGGTTTTGTTGTTGTCCTTTGCACTCAAATGCTCCAGTTTAACAAGATTGTCATCAGATTCACAAGATTGTCGTCCACCTCACTGCATTGTCATCGGCTTCACAAAACCTCTGAAATATCAGTGAGTTTGCGCATGTTCAATTGAAGCCCAGTGGCCCTGCAGAGTTCAACCCTCATTGATCGCGCACATGAACAGGGCGATGGGGCGTTGTTTAGGGCTGGCTTCAAGTCGACCAGGCGCCGCCAGAAGCCCCCCAGTCATTGGCTTGGCTGGCTGGAGGTGTCAGACTGCTTGGGAAATGAATCACATGGAAATAGGTTTTTGCAACATTCTTCCAAAGTATAGCAGCTTAGCAGCATTTTGATCTACTTGCGTTTTGGAAAGCCAGCAGGCCGTCGCCACATAGCAGCGCAAGAGTTGGAGACGCTCGTGGCTTGGAAGAACCTGAGAAATCCTGCAAGAAGACAGGAACCAGTCTTGTGCTGCTTAATCATCAAGTTTCCGAGGATTCTTCCAGCCTTGATACTCGGTTTGCCCTGCTGTTGGCCGTGGCACCTTCGCATCTCGGAGGTTGTTTCGGTTTGTTGTGTTGAGACATTGAGATACTCTTCTGGCTTCTGTATTCAGGGTATCTGAGGCTGGCCATCTCCATTTGGCTCACGAAAACATATGCCACTGGGTTCACAGGCAGAACTGCTATATGCCTGAGTGGGATTGCTTGATGGCTGCCTGGGCCCTCCATTGAGCGGGGTGTATCCATCAAAGGTTTGAAGGTGTTTGAGTTTTGCCCATATGTTCTCCCAAAGCTTGTTCTCACCACGGCAGAATCCTGCACACTGCAATTGTAAAGGCAGGTTTCCCTGTATGCTGAAACATATCAGGGCGAATCTTCGTGGACTACTGACCGCATCCTCCGCAACAAAACACAGACACTTTTAGCATCTTTTAGCTCCAGGTATATAATCAGAGCTGGTAGTTTGTTCGGTATATTGCAGGTGTCGGAACCTTCTTTGATGTGCTAGCATTGTGCCGAGACCTCAGAAGATCCACCTGTAGCTGCAGTTTCCTTTGGTAGAGCAGAGGATACCTCTATTTTTCTTATGACAAAACCTCAGGCCTTTTTGTTGACGTTTGGCGTTTGATGATGCACATGGCAGTCGTCGTGGCACCAGCTTGGACTGTTTTAGGCGGAAGGTGCGGAGACGGCAGCTGTGTATGACAGCGACTAGAATTGTGCAGCTTACAGACCAATCATGTGTCTTCCTGTCCAGCACAGGCTCCCATTTCCTCTGTAATCAAAAAGCTGCAAGTGGGACAGCTTGGTCCTACTGCGAGTCAGAATGACAGCAGAGGCATTTAGTTTTGTGCTAGGAGAGATGATGGGCAGCAGGCTGGATGAGTGCAATGCGACAATGCATGCAGTGTCATCAAGCGGTCGAGCAGGAAAGTATATTATTTGCGTTTGAATGTCAGCCTGAGGCACATGAAAAGATCCCTGGCTTGTTCAAGCTCACTTGGCTTTTGTGCTTCTTTGCAGCAGCATGCATCAACCCCCTGCGTTTGAATTTGTCCCTTTGCGGAACTTATATAGAGTATACTTATATAGAGTATCATTCCAAGAAATCTACCGCAATTGACCAAGGCATTGGCTGGTTTGCGGCCTTACTGCTGATGAAACGGCATGCTACTGGTGTGGGCTTTACGGACCCCATCAAGACTCTCGACGCGCAACACAGTTTGATGCAACATGTTGCTTGTGTAGCTTCCAGGAAGCCTTTCGGAAATTGTTTGTTGCAACGATCCAAGGATACATGTCCTCGCTTGCCTTACATCATACCTCTTTTTTCCTGTCTCACTGACGCTTGCTTGGTGACTTGGATTTTGGAGAAGAGATTGAATGTTGCAACAAAGTTGCTTGTTGTCAGTTTGTTTTCTCATGAGGTATTACAACAAGCTTCTCTTCAAGGAGACTTTGTGACTCTTCAGTTTGAAAGTCATTCTGAATGGACTTGTACACTTTGTTGTGCTGTAGCAGGTCTCGGGCATGTATGTGCAATATATACTGTCTTCCTTCTGCGAAGAGGACACTGCTGTATGGCTTTCAATGGTCTGGATCATCTCCGCCTGCATGTCTCTTGGACCTCCTCTTACGTGGGATTGTCATCATCGCGCTTGCGGCGACGGTTGCGGTGGCGGTGGCGATGGTCGTTGTCGCCAACGTCGAACTCGTAGTTGTAGTTGAAGGAATAGGAAATGATTAGTAGAGTAGTGCCAGTAGTAGCAGTGGTGGGAGCAGGAGCGCTGTCGATCGTGCTCATCATCGTTGTAGTTGTCGTGGTAGGGGTGTCGCTGTGGGACAGCACGATTTGGACTCCTTGATCTTTCTTTCTTTCTTGCTTGCTTGCTTTCTTTCTTTCTTTCTTTCTTTCTTCCATTTCATATCATTTCATGTCATTTCATTTGACTTCTGTTCTTTTCTTTCTTTCCTCTTTTTTTCTGTCTTTCCTTCCTGCCTTCCTTTCTTTCTCTCGGCGTGTAGAATCTCACACGAGATGCAGCCACGAGCATGAATTCGTGCCTCTTTGAGACGTTTGTAATTTTCCCTTTACTCAACTTTACTCCTTTTCCAATCTGACAGCTGCATCAGGTTGCTCATGGCGACGGTTTTCAACGCAACTGAGCCAAACACCATTGGCATTTTAGCCATGGCTTGGAACCCAATGACGTCAAGCAAATGAGCAAACCTATCCTCCTTTATGCATCTCTCAGTATGTTGCCAGATCATACATTTTGCACGCTGAAAAAGTTGGTACCAGGTTGCTAGTATCATTCATGCTGCCTCTACGTTTTCAGAATCAGTCCCTGGATGCATTGCGATGATGGTCGTGCCTGGGTTGAGAAGGAGTGGCAGTGCCAGTTTTGTTTGGTGAGAACTTTGCTGCAGCCTGCTGTCAGTCAATTCTTTGTCATTGTTTTCATCATTTGACTGTCATGTGTGCAAGGCCTCCACTGCAGTGACTTCAATGTTTGTTTTCTTCTCTGTACACTACGCGGAACAAGTACGAGATGCCATAGGTTAATTCAGCATGAGTTGGAGGAGTGCATACAACTGTACATCTTTCAGAGCTGCTCGCGCAGTTGCGCTTTTCATCCCAAAGAGGACTTGCGCAACTGAAAGGCTATAACGCATACGACGCTCTCAGCAAGTGTGCCAGAAAAGCGGAGTGTGAACTCCAAGGTCCAAGGTCAGAAGGCGCGAGGAACAACGTTTAAAGGGAGATTTGTCATGTTGTCATAGTTTGTCTTGAAATGAAGCTTGTTCCAAGGTCCTCCCATGCAGGCCTGGGGAAAAGAACTAAACAGACACATGACACGTCCACAATGGTCCACAATGGTCCACAATGGTCCACAATGGTCCACAATGGTCCACATGAACATGACAGCCAGGAGGGCACCAACGAGGCCGTGCTGGCGGCCGCTGCCGCAGCTGGCTGCAATGTCTCTGCACTTCTAGGTCCCATTCCGAGACATCGAATTGCACGCAGTACAAATCTTTAACTTCCTTTTATATAACGGGTAGACCAGGTAGGTCTCAAGTCTCTTGGCTCTTATTATTCCACGAGACCTCAATGCCTTGGCTCAACCAAGAACTCACGCT